TTGATATGGAATAGAAAAACATAAACATATTCTTAATATACTTACTTCTAACTGTCACATCAAACAACCTTTTCCACTTGATCGAGTCATTTTTACATACTGTAGCCAGCACAAGCGTGTTTGTGCGCGATCGGGCATACGTGTGTGTGAGCGGCTTATCGATTCGCCGACTAGCCGCGGGCGGCTTTCTTCATGTGCGCCGTATTTGTAAGTGTGTATGTCGTACCTGCGTTATGGGAAAGCAATTAAACAGTTCAAAGAAAAAGAAACTTTTTCGGACGGTTCGAGAAAGTTCCCGAAAGGGAACAAAAGGGTATTTAAAGGAAGAGACGATCGCCGAGAGTAGTAGAAATAAATTGACCGTTGCAGAAGTTAATCTAGAAATAAATTGACAGTGCAGTGAATAGTGATTTAGTAACAGTACTGTAAATAAATAGAATAATTCTTAACCTAAGTTTAGTAATAATTCAATAGTGTTTTTAAGTTTAATAATAATTAGTGTAAATAAATAGTTTTCGTCTTAGAAGTTAAATTTTGTTAAACCCACGAACATTACATTACAGAACTTTTTCCCTATACCCTTATACTTCCTAAGAAAGCTTTCACTTTCGTTACTTGTGCTTTTATATTTATTTTATCAATGTCGTTTTCTTCCGGTACTTATCCTAAACGTGTATGCTTTTTCACCTTTTGTATCACCTCCAATTTCCATCTTAATTCCTTTTTTCCTCCCTTTTTTCCCTTATTTTCCTAAATTCCATATACAGTAGAACCTTGATAACTTAAACTTCGATAACGTAATAACTTCTATAAATTCATAAAATTTTGTGTTCCCTTCCTCTCGGAGTCCAAAACCTGTATTACTTAAAATAAAAACCCTCTATAATTTAGACCAATAATTTGGGCATCGCACCTCAATAAGCAGTAAAGTGGTTCGAATCAGGAGAAAGTCTTCTATGTAAAAGACGAAGAATTCCTGAATTCCCTAATTTAGAAAAATGCTTGTAGTTTACATGGTTTAGACAGTGTAGAAATAAAAACATAAAAAGGAAAAAGCTGAAGAGTTTGCTAAGTCACTGGAAATCCATAATTTTACAGCTTAAACTTAAGCCCTTAACCTCAATAACTTAAATTATTTTACGTTTCCCTTGGTCTTTATCTTATCGAGGTTCTACTGTACATACGTAGTCTTACTTACATTCGGCTCCAGTCCCTTCTCTTTTTTTATCTAAATTTGTTAAGTAAAGTCTAACATGACAATAATAAATTTCATATTCTCATTTTTCCTACACGCCTAAAATTGAAATTTGTCTTGTTTGGATTAAGGTGTTGGACTTTAATGGGAATGTTAGCAGCTAACAATTCCATTTTTTGTTGACTTAATTTCTAGTTGGGGCTAATATCTTTATCATTACTTTTGAGTTAATTTTTGCCTTCTGGTTGGGGGCATATATCTAATAAAATATTAATTATTATATAATTGAAAAATGCGTAAATTGTATCAACGCAACTTGTTTTTGTTTTTATTAAATTTTCTGTTTAGTTTTGTTTTATTGCGGCAGTATTTACGTCCATGTAACTTCCAAACCCGGATCTTCTGCCAGTAGAACTGTGTTATTTTTAATATTTAACCAATGTTTCGATGATGATTCAATAATAATAACAAACGACGGCGTCGTTGTGATGTTATGGTGCGATTATAATCGTTCTTACTATTACATTTCTTTACTGAAACATCAGCCAATTAGATTTTTGTCTTGTTCGCTGTTACATACATCCATGTATACAAAAAAAGAACTGAACGTTTCGCGTTTGTGACGTTTAATTTTTATATGCGTACATGGAAGTTGAAATAGTAATTTGCACATTCATGAAACCCGTGTTTACATGCATAATACGTTCCTTGTAGTAAGTGTAGCTAGTTCTAAAGCTCATGAGGTTTTATTTGCGCCAGAGACTGACTTTGTTGCGTTCATATTGTATTACATTTTTAGGAAAACATTGACTTTGCTGTTATTAACCATTTGCATCGTTGTACACAAATCAGGTCTAGAAGTCTAGATAAACAATGACGGTTAATGTTTTTAAGAGGTAGAGATGTGGAAATTAATAATTAAACGGACGTAGTCGTATCACTGCGAAACCCAAGGCAAAGGTTCATGAAATTCCAAACGAACTCTACATCAAGATTTACTATGTTCGTGACAGATTTGTATTTCCGTGTATTTTTACTACGAAAACCGCTCAATGAAATATCGTAAGATTGATGTTTGAATCATGGACTATTTTGGTTGTCAAAGTGTCAATGTATACCAAAAAAAAAGCTCGATTCGACTTATTAATGAACGTTACATAAGTATGAGGTCTGTTCAAAAAGTATCGTGAATTTTGTGTTTTTTCAAAAATCATTTATTCGTGAATAAATATCTTGTCCCCTTCAAAGTGATCTCCACCAGATATAATACATCAAAGCTCTTCTAAAAATCATTGTTTGTGATCTTGTTCAGTTCCTCCTTCCATGCCGTCTTTATCTCCTCAATCGTAACATAGCGCCATCCTTTCATGGGCCTCTTCAGTTTTGGGAGCAAGAAAAAGTTACTGGGTGGCAGATCTGGTGAATACGGTGGCTGCGGTATTATTAATGTGTTGTGTTTGGCTAAAAATTCGCGCATAAGCAACGTAGTGTGAGTAGGGGCGTTATCATGGTGCAAAAGCTAACTTTTGTTCTTCCACAAATCCGGGCGTTTCTGGAGGATTGCTTCCGGCAAATTGCGCATAACTTGCAGGTAATATTCCTTATTGACCATTCTACCCTCTGGCAAGGACTCATGGTACACTACGCCCCTGCAATAGAAGAAAACTATTCGACATTCGACCTAAATTGGCGCCCTTTTTTCGGTTTTGGCTCGTGCGGCAGCTTCCATTGGGATGATTGAGCTTTGGTTTTCACGTCATAACCATAAACCAAAAATTCGTCACTAGTTATGGCCCTCTGGAGCAAATTCGGGTGGCACGGACAGAGTCCATCAGCTCGTTAGCAATGTTAATGCGATGCTGTTTTTGGTTGAATTTGAGGAATTTTGATACGAGGCGACCCTTCTCATGCCCAAATCATTGGTAAAAGTCGAAAGGCAGAAGCCAATTGGTATGTGCAGGTCCTCAGCAAGTTCTCTTTTGCCATTTTCATAATTTAACTAAACGTTAATATGAATTAATATTTAACCATCTACAGATTACCTGAAATTAATATGAAAAAATTGTTACTCCTGTCACCCCTTAATGTTTATTTAAATTATTAGATATTAATCTCTATCAGGAAAAAATTTCATCGAAGTATTTCGTTTTCATCCCAATGAGAAGTCATTTTACTTTACTTATTGACTGTATTTTCTTACCGTTTAAAGGCATTTTTTATTGCTTTTATATCAACTTTCCATATTTTCCTTTTAATAAGCAATGGGTCAAAGTCTGCATCCACATTAAATATTATTGGCCATGGTATTATAATTAATTTG